TATCGTATTAGTATTAGTAACTGCGCCTAATGTACAAAATTCATGCAGAGATTAGAAATTGTTTCCCATGAGCAACTTTGTCTGGATATAAATTACGAAGTTACGCTCCAGCAAGAAGCATTCACGATGTGGAGTGAAGTTTTATTATACACCTCTATTAAATTTAAATTGAATTTGCTTTAGACACCCTGAGGGTGTCTCATAAAAAATTTACGATGATTGAAGTTATATAAAAACACAATTTCAACACCAAATTAGACAAATTTGGTATCAGTCTATTGCAAATAAGATGCTTTATTTAAATATGTAATTTAAATCTACATAAAGGGTGTTAAAGTTACTAATATTAGTACGTAAAGTCAAAAGTATTTATATAAACTCTGGCATTTTTCTACAGTACATTGTAATACGGGTTACACCAGTAACGATTTTTCTTGAGAAAGCATTGTAGACGCCTACGCAGCAGTACTGTACAGTACAGCACTTGCCTACTGCACTGTACTGTACAGTACTACAGTACTACTACTACTGTACACTGTACAGGACACTATTTTACAGTACATAGTACTGTACTATCCTGAGTGTGATTATTTTCGATGGCACCCTGAAAACATAGAAGTGTATAAGCTAAATCAGGCCCAAACTCGATCAATTCTATATTTGGTTGCAGCCTATTAACTCAGGAATGCCAATTTGGCTCTTATTTCTCTAGATATTCTCGACTTTTCCCGTAAAATTGGTTAGAAGTACAGTGTGTACACTACTTTACAGTACAGTACGCACAGTATTCAGTCAGCTTGTGTCGTAGAGGTAAAAGAACTTCCAGATTGGCAGATTTGCATTCAGAGTTTTCCATAGCCTAAAGCTCAGACAAGGGAGTCAAAATTCCACTCTCTCAGCCTATTCTAAATCAAATAGCGAAAAAGAATGGCTAAAAATACTACAACTGTTTTAGATTTGCTCCAGGAGAGATCCAATCCACCATTTTCTATTAATGAAATGACAGAATTTTATGATGGAGGGTCGGAAGCAACGAAAAATCGCAAATTGATATGTAAGTCAAGCCAGATTACTGCCTTCGATTCAATATGCGCTAATACTGTAAGCACTAGGCAGTGGGCAGTGACGTTCATTTCACGCCTATTATTGACAATCAGAGCAATTCTGCTATAGTGCTTATGCATAAAGTAATAGAGTGTTGTAGATAAATGATAGTAAGCTTTCTTGATAAAGCTGGCAAGAGAACAAAATCATTCAGTACTTTTATGCACGGTTTATGTATTGTATCCAATCACCACCTGTATTCAAAACAAAATGGATCAAATCGATCTTGCAGCGTAAGATGGCGTCATCAACCAACGATTCCAATATCGATTCCATGATGCCATAATACATTTCATACTTTATCTTAAATGATCAATCTCTCTTAGTCAGTATCGTCATTTATTGAATCTGCAAATAATAGCACAGTAATAATATTACATCTTGAGTAATAATATTGGAAATGTCCCAAGGCAAAATTGAACGCAATAGAAAAACTACCATACGGATACCGGTAGTAATCATCGAAAAATAATTTCTGCACAAATTTCCGGTATGAAGTAGAGTTCATACTCAAGCACTGTTCTGCAATGCTATACTGTACGTACTTTATGTTCATGATGTTGCACTTTGTCAGTTCATGAATCTATCCAATGTCAATGCTGACGCGTATACTAGAATACTGTGCATACTCTTATATAGCTACGGGAAATAATAACTAAGCATACTAATTAAATGAAATGAATTAATTGCTTAACATGCACTTCACGTATTTAATACGATATCAGTCACATTAGTAGATGGCAATCTGCTCATCTCTGTATACAATGATGGTTCCCGTACTTGGTTTATAAATGCGTGGAACGAATAAATCATTTCTAAACTTAAAAAAACTCAATTTTGATCAGAATAAACTGTAACTGACTCTGATGAAAGATTCTCACAGTATTGGGTACTGTTTGTCAAGACAATAGTAAAAGATATTCGTAGCTGTATAGGATATGCATCCATTAAATCGTTTAAAATCTTCATTTTTTTCACCATTGATAATTAATTGTATAATTACAGCTTCTTTGATATTAAACAACCCCGCATTTAAATGGTTGGAACGCCATTATTGGACTCGAGAAGAGACATACAGCAGCAGTGTTCAATGTTTAGCAGAAGTTGCAAAAATTTTAAGAAAGCATAAACTCAATGTTGATGATTTCATGCATTACCACTGGCTTGTCAGGTAATCCTGCAATTTAAAACTTGATCTCGGTAATCTTAATTATATATACCTAATTCTAAGCTTACAGCAATAGCGTCGATCAAAAAAATTGCTCTATAGATATACGTCGACTTAATTCTACTAGCTTTCTGTATGCCTGCAAGTAAAAGTTAGTTACCATATCATGTTGAAGATATTAGTTGGATTAAATAATGGATAATATTACTAATCGAGTACGATACTTCTATACTGCATATTATTCTTTAGTACAATAGGAGAGAAGATGCCTTTCGAACTGCATCTTACTATGTGGAAATCTGCTTTGCAGGTATTGTATTTGTATACTGTACTTATGCATTACAATAAATGTTGACACCATTATGCTGATTATAACATCCAGAGTCTTGAATTAATAGATGATACCTATATTTGCCGCTGCTCGTGTTAAATATAACCTTGAAATCAGCAATGTACTATACCATTTATATATATACGTACAGTATATATCATGCTTCTATATACACTGGACATCGGCTATGCATGCACAGTATCCTATTACGTCGTGTCGAATTTGTTTCGAGCAAATCTAATGCATTAGCACATTCTAGAATATAAAATAGAATAGCTAACATGATAGTTCTCAGCAAGTAATTTTTCTTCATAAAAATATCAACGCAGGATCAAGGTACATCTGAACAACAAAAGAAATGGTTACCGTTAACTGATAATTTTGAAATCGTCGCTACCTATTGCCAAACCGAACTTGGTCACGGTAATTAACTACGATTAAATATACAGTTCTATACAACTGCATTCTAACATCTGATATCTTAAAATAATACAATCGCCCTTATTTATTTACTTGTTTCGTGATTAATTGAAGCAATTTATTCTTATTCTTAACGCTAAATGGATATTCGTATTTTACTTGTATTGGAATTAGGTACCTTTATTCGAGGATTAGAAACAACCGCTACATATGACCCGAAAACTAGAGAATTTATCTTAAATACTCCTACTTTAACGGCTACAAAATGGTGGCCTGGTGGATGTAAGTTATCAATACCATTATCTTATCCTTCTCCAATTTTAACGAAGAGAACGCAATCACTAAGTTAAATTTATATGACGCAAGTAACAATATTAGGTCTCTTATTTACGTATTCATGTTTTGTTTAGTGGCTAAAACTGCCACTCATGCTGCTGTGATGGCTCAATTGTGGACTCAGAATAAGTGTTATGGCCCACACTTATTCATTCTCCAGGTTCGTAGTCTAGAAGATCATACTCCTCTACCTGGAATTACCCTAGGAGACATTGGCGATAAATTTGGGTATAACAGCATTGATAATGGCTCTATGCAATTGAATAATGTAAGAATACCTCGCGATCAAATGTTGATGAGGCATTCAAAGGTAAGTAAAGATATACAGTAATCTGTATACGAAGGTAACTCGACCCGCGTTATGATTTATGTAAATGTTTTTTACATATCGCTATAGGTTACACTTGACGGAACCTATATCCCTCCTAAAAATCCCAGACTAGCTTACGGAGCTATGACTTTATATAGATGTCAAATATTGATCATATGTTCTGGCTATTTAGCACGAGCATCTACGATTGCCGTTCGCTACAGTGCAATACGCCGTCAGACTGAAACAAAACCTGGGTGCCGTACTTATTTTCATACTCTTTTATGACATAGGATA